ATTCTTAACAAACACATTGTGACTACTCCGACCACGCCACCTGGTTAAATCAGTAACAAGAGCTTTCCTTGATGAGGAGATTCTACAAGTTTCCGGAAAGCCTAAAATATAACAATGGACGTCAGCATAAATGACAGTGTGCACAAACCAAAATATAGGCAAATGATTTTGCTATAAGAGCAAACCACCAAATTAGATCTAACTAAAGAGAACAAACCTTTGGATCCTAAGAAGGTGGAGAAAACACACTAATAGCAGATTTTGAATGCAGAAGCAATTTACTCATAAAACAAGTCAAGGCCAAAAATATAAAGAATGCAATTTATCTACAAAACAACTAAACAAGTCCAACATTGAGAAGAACTTTAGACTAAAGAAACACCAAAGCTGTTTAGTTTTCTCCAGAAAGGGGTCATCTAACCTCTTTAGTCTATCATGTGACCAGATTAACTTGATGACAATAACAAGCTTTTGTTCCTTTACTTCCCAGAAGAGGAGATATGCAGATTCATGAAACTAGAGCAGCCATAACATGTAGAAACAAACATAAACAAACACTTAAGAGAGGTTTAACCACTTATACCTTCTGAGTGGTTTTCTTCTCCAGTTAGTGGAACATCAAATAATCTGTCAGAAAAATCATCCTCTGCGGAAACTGATATGCTGGAAATCTCACTGTCTTTTGCCTTGTTGTTATGGGAGGCTCCGACAACATTTTCATAAGCATCCTCACATGAAATCCCGGTGCTGTCCGAGTTATTGTTGATTACAACAGATACGCTTTTCATGGATTCAACAGACTCCATTCCTGGTACTTTGCTGTCATAAATCCCTTCACAATCCAAATTGACAAGCTGGTCACAGGTAACAGGGACAGAGACCATAGCTGTACTCTCTAACACCTTTGTCAATTGCCGGCGTCGGTTTTTCCTTTTAGACCACTCATGAGCATTTAAGACTTGTGCCCTTTTTCTTTTTAGTGATGACGACGGGGAGCACACCTTGTTCCCATTTGCAATAATATTTCCATTCGACACTGAATCACTGAGACTTACAGCACAGATCAAACCCAATTCTTGCTTATGCTCGACTATAGCACCAGCCTGTTCTTTCCCAATATCCTCAAGCCCTCTCATTCGCTTGACTCCTTCAGTCCCATCATCTTCCGAGTCATTTGGTGTTCTTCTTCTCTTTGGCTGCACTTTAGAAGCTCCAACGTTATTCATTTCTTGGGAAGACATACTGGATTGCAATTGCTCTGGCGCTGAGTCCAATTCATCTTCAGTCTCTCCTGAATCAGAGGATCCCAAATCCTCATCCTCATTGCCAGAAAGACACCTTTTAGAATCTTCCTCACCAGATAAAGTACACAAATTATCTTCTTCTTTTGCAAGATGTTCATTCTCAATCTCAAGAGCATTGTTAATGGCATCTTCTCGGCGAGTACACTTGCCAGTCTTCTTCTTACTAGAGCTCGCCTTTGCCTTCTCAATGCAAGTATCATAGTCTCCACAACGAAACGCCTTCACCGTCTTGGAATTTTCAAGAGTATACCAATCCCTAGAGTCATAAAGAAAAACACTTTTAACCAAGGGCAAAGAGAATGAGATTGTGGAAGAGAGAAGAGTAAAGAGTATACTCACACGCTAACATCGTCACGACCTAGAAGCTTTATTGGAGTGCCGACTTTTGGAGAAACCAAAGAGTTGTCAGGAACTTGGTCATGAACCAGAGTCTGTCCAGGCCACCAAGACCCGTTGCGGCGACGAACCCATACCAATCTACCTACTGACGCATTAATAGCCTCCAAGTTTTGGTCATCATTACTCTCCATTACACAAACTCTCAAAAGACAGAACACAAAAGAGACGGAAGTGCCACAAAAACTTCCCAACTGACCTAAAAATCAAAACTTTATAATCTGGAAATCTCAATGAAGTGACTTTCTTTCACTAAACAAAAGTATGCCCCTTCTTGAATCCTGCAACCAACAAAAATCAATGGAAAAATCTTAAAAGACAGAACATGCAACAAAGAACTCGCAAGTTGAAAACAAATAGCTAAGCTGGTTAAAAACAGTAGAGATCTGAGAAGAAGCAGCAGAGATCCAGATACCTGTTAGGAGGTTTCTATCTGTCAATGAATCAAATAGCATTAAGACAAGACCGCATTCTTCTTTTGGTTCTGAGAAAAGGGTTTTTGCTCCGGCGGTTTAGTGAATGGAAGACAGAGAGCAGCAGCAGAGAGGAGAGAGGAGAGAGAAAGGGCTGGTTTTGGATGGAGAGAGAGAGACCGAGAGAGAAGAGGAGGTCAAAAAAGCACATCCAAGGTGAGAGAACTCTAACTACAAGAAGTGAGTAACTTCAGAAACAAACGACACCGTTTGGGGTATTTTTGTCCTCTCTTTTAGGTTTATTTATCTTTGCGTTACGTCGCTCTTTAGGCCACGAGGCAACTGTCTAGTTCTATATTCAGACATCTGATCTCAAAGGTGTCAAATTTGGTAATAAATGACGGTGAGTTGGATCCAAAGTACCTTCCAAAGTCTCGTAATTTTTGTTTTAACATTAAAAACCTCTTTCCAAATTTTCATAATTTATAGTCAACAATTAAAATCTACACAAACTGTTTGAGGTTTGTTGTTGGAGAATGGTCTCTTAACTGTACCAATCCAAGAACAAGACGGAGAAAGTAAGGACGAAGAAAAACAGTAAGAGAAAGGTTCTGCTGCTGCTGTTTCGTTGGATTGCTTGAGAAAGCTCTTTGTTTCCAAGCTCCACGTTCTTTGTTGCCTCAACCGCCTGCATTTTAGTGTCAAGCTAAGTGAGAAAAAGGGCCACAAGGCGCACACACAGAGACACACATAAAGAGAGCCACCAAATCGTGGAATTGGTTAATTAAGTCTGTACTTCTACAGGGTAGGGAAAACCACACAACCCGATAAACTAAAGTACTGGGAATGGCATCGAGTCATTGACACATCCAAATGGGGGTTTTAGCAACTTCTCATGACTGAACAATAACAGTTCCATTTCCTACCACTAAATTGAAGAGCAATTCAAATTGGACCAATTATGAAGTTTCTTTCCCGTCTCTATACCTACTCTAGGTGAATGTCACAAGGAAAAGTAGGTGAATATAATAGCATCCGAATTTATTTTTGAGCTAGCGAAGAGAGGCATTATGCCTAAAGAACAGGGAAAGCCTAACAAAACAATGTGTTGACATGAGAGCTTAGGAGAAGTTAATAAGTCCTAACCTGGTCATAAAGAAGCTCTATCTGTTGGGCTTGTTGCAGAACATGAGTTGCCATCAAGTGGTTTAATGCAGACATCTCCACCATCTTAGTCTCTGTCTGCCTAGCACCATCTAAAAGATTACTTAGCTCTACCTGCAAGAATTACAGAATTCAAAATTTAGCATAACTACAAAACTCATGCAAATTTTCGAAGACCATGTAGAATTGCCTTGTTACCTGAAGGGCTTGTGTTTCATCGTCTAGAAGTTGTTGTTGTTGTACTCTACGAGGTTGGGCCTGAATTTCATCCGGTTTTATGGACTCCGAATTTGCCAGAGTTGTGATGATTGGATTAGCTTCCTTTATGATCCTCTTAGGTTTTCTTCTCGGCATAGCTCTGTTAATAATATCTTGGAAACGAGTAGCTCTAAGCTGATCAAACTGGGCAGTGACTGAATGAAGTTTCTCACTCAGAATCAAAACCTGCAAACAAAGAATTACCATTACTACGCGTCTAGATACTTTGAATGAAAAATATAAATAAACCAAAGTTGGCTTACTACATTGGTGCATATCATACCACTCCATGTTTGTGTGCTATAGTATCAGCATTAAAGTTATCTGCGGGAAGGCCAAGCCATCCTTTGGAGTTTGCTTCTTCATTTCTAATACTATTTTTGAGAATATCGATCTGTTCCTTGCAAGCTTTAATAAAAGCAGTAATCTGCAAGAGAGAGCATTTGATGATATTACACAACACATATGTAGACATAGTTCTCGATCAAACACTGCAGGAGATATAAGAATGTAAGATCCGAGCTCCTCAATGACACAATATAGTAACTCCCTCGCTATCTAAGGTAACAAACATTCATCAATATGAGTTGCTACTTTTCTTATGATTTATCGCAGCAACTTCATGTAATCAGATATATACTATGGGCAAGCCTAGCTCAGAGTACTTACTTCTTGTTCAATGCTATCCTTTTCCTGTTCAGTAGTCCGGTGCAGATCAACATAATCCTTCCGATGCTTCAACATAAACTGTTCCAACTCCTTAATGCTATCCAGCTAAATCAACCAACATAAACAAGTTCAGTACCAACACCATACAAGAATCATTCGATAATGCAACTTGCAAACCCGGTCAAATAGAACAAACATAAAACTCCGAATGCTAAATCACTAAAGTTACCGTTTTGAAAGCAGCTTTGGTGAAAGGCGATCTCTCCTTTGGCTTATGTATAATAAAAGACGCCATTGTCGATGCCACTTTAGACTGTCACACAAAGACAAACGAATCAGATCAATGTCAACGAAAACAACAATCCAAAACCCTGAAAACCCTAGGGAATGATCATAATTGAGATGCAAAAAAATCCTCTCTTTTTAACAAATAGCTTCGATCGAAAGAGATTTTAGATGTAAAAGGACTCGCGGACCTCATTATAACCAATCGAAACAGCCGATTTTCGAACAGAATCCTTGAAATCCTCTGTCCTGTCTCTGAATCTCGACATCTTGTACACAAAATTCAGATCGATCAATGCTTCTTCTTCCTTATCAATCAATCAGTCAATAGCTTTAAAACAAAAGTCTTTTTAGATTCAAATAAGGGTTTTTTCTCCAGCGATTCGGAGAAGAAACTCAAACGAAATCGAAGAAGAAGAGAAGCGAGGAGAGAGAGAGAGAGAAAGGGCTTTCCTTTTTTCAGTTTTTGTCACAAAATAAAAATAAAAGTGAGAATAGAGATAAAGCGACATCGTTTTGGGGGATCGTCTCCTTTAGGTTTATCGTCGCTCTTGGTCACGAGGCGACTCTCACTGTGGAGTTCGATATTCAGGCAATCTCAAAGCTTCCACGACAAAGGTGTCAAATTTAGTCATCATGACGGGTGAGTTCGATCAAAGTTTCTTGATTTCTTCGTTTAACATCGAATCTTTTAGAGCTATGTATCTGTGAATCTGGGAGAGTAATTGGATTTCGATTGATCTCGATTTCTGATTGATTGATTTGAGAATTATTGGGTGTTGTGTTGTGTCTCTTGTAGAGTATAAGCAGGAACAGGAGATGGAGATTGAAGCCCTTGAAGCTATACTTATGGATGAGTTTAAAGGTTAGATTTTTTTTAGTTTCCGTGTATGTTCATCATTGAGCTGATGATGAGAGCTTTGAATTCTTAACGACTGTATTGTTAACAGAAATTCATTCTAGTGAAAGTGGGCTTAATACTTCGAATCGATGCTTTCAGATCACAGTGACTCCTCAGGTAGACAACACTCCATTCATCTATTTCCTTCAACTTGTTTAGATAATCCAATGATGCCTTTAGCTTCGTTTGTATGTATGTTCACCAAGCTGTATGTGATTTTTGAAAAGCTTATGTGTTATAAGTGTGTAGCAAATGTCAACTGAAATATCGTCTGTTTTAGCAATTTTCTATTCTCCTGATCTTCTGTGTCTTCTTTGATCTTCATAGGATGATGAAATGGAGGACTCAGCAATTCCACCAGGTTACTAGTCTTTAACAAAGATCCTTTGTTGTATCATACTATCATATACCTCTCCTGTACTTTCTCAGTCTTCTCAATTTGTCTGTACATTCTCAGTCTTATAGCTCTCAGTTTGTCTTGCAGTTCAGCTGGCTTTGGTTTTCTCGCACACAGAAAATTATCCGGACGAGGCTCCGCTTTTGGATGTGAAAAGGTAATTCTTGGTTTAACCATCTTTATCAAGCTAAAACAGATATATGATGATGATGCTAATGTGGGTAGAGTATTCTTCCAGTATTCGAGGAATCCATGTTAGTGACCTCACCATCTTGAAAGAGAAGCTTGAACAAGAGGTAAAATATTTTTACAACTTTATGGCTTGTTATTATATTTATACATGAATTGTAAGAGTGGAAGGTCTCTGGTCAATGATTTTCCTAATTCAGACTTTCTGAACAGTTTAGCAAGAATATTATCCGATTTTGTTTTCGATGACTAGTTATTCTCTAGAACTAAATAGTTCATGATACTTCTTCTACACCGTATTGCATGACTTTACACAAAGCTATTTTTCACAGGCATCTGAAAATCTTGGTATGGCCATGATCTATACGCTGGTCTCATCAGCAAAGGACTGGTTGTCTGAACAATATGGGCAAGATGATGCAGCTGACTTAGCAGAAGAAGAAGCCGCCAAAGAGGATGAGGTATTGTTGTCTGCTCAGTATTTTGGATGTATAAGCTGCAAAGAACCCCAAGTCTTTTTCCATGATATATGTGTCTCCTTTCTAATCGTTTGTTCCCTTCCTGTTCTTTTTGCAGGTAATTGTCCCTCATGGAGAACCTGTTACGCTGGAGACATTTTTGGCATGGAGAGAGAGATTTGAGGCAGAGCTTGCGCTTGAGCGAGCCAAGTGAGTAAACTTTTCCTGCACATTCTTTTTTCCTTGCTCTTATTACCATTGAACACTGTCTGAGTTATTAATTTTTATCTGTGGCCGTGGATAAACTTCCAAGGCTGATGCCGGAGTCTGCTCTTACAGCACCCAAGGAGAAGAAGCTTACAGGAAGACAGTGGTTCGAAAGTGGCAGAGGGGTATTTCTCATTCCCGTTTTATTATTGGACTCTTGTTAGAATTTCAATATCTAATTAAGTACTATTGTTGTTAACTGTCTTGTTCAGAGAGGAACGGTGGTCACTGCTGATGAGGAAGATGAGGAGGAAGATGAGGAAGACATCGACTTTGAAGACGAAGACTTTGAAGGTGAAATAGTCTTTCTTTTTGGTTTACACGCGATTATCCATAAGCAACCAATGGTTCTCAGGAACCACTTTGTTTTTTTTATACAGATGACGAAGAAGACATGCTTGAGCACTATTTGGCGGAGAAATCTGATTCTTCCGCTCCCCCATCAAGGACATGAAACTACGGGAGAGCCTTATATACTGATTATTGAAGCTCTTTTCTGGATAGAGATCGTGATGCAAGATACTGGCCTTGCATTGAGAAGCATTCATTCTCCATATCCTCAGATTTCCGAGTTTTGATCCACTTAAGAGTACCCTGAGCATTACCATTTGTCTTAAATCTATAAAACTTACCCTCATCGTCTGTTCAATTACAAGAACGCTTTAGAGAATGCCACTGATTTTGTAGCTTTTTTGTTTAGAACCAGCTCAAAGCTAATCTCTCTGTGAAAAGACAAATAGTTAAAATTTGGAAGCCCTTGTAACCTTGTTTAAGCTCTGCGTTATCAGTAGCTTCCATCTTTGCAGGTCACATAACTCAAGTTAACATACTATGGCTGATAAAATATTATTCCTATCAGAGTATGTAATTTCTAAATAATGATATAGATATGCGTCTAATATGTTACAGAGAGTCCACTGTTACTTCATTACGTTTTCAAACAGAACTCCTGCTGGTACTCATGATGCAGGGCCATTTTTTAGCTAGACACAACCTTGGTCTGTCATGGCTTGAGCTATGTTCAAAAATGCTGCAATCGTTGCTCCGTGAAGAAGTGCCCTGACATCAAGACCGAAATCATTTCAATTGTTTGGATTCACAATAGTTAAGAGCATGCGGAAGCTACAGAGCAGCTTTGACCAACAGAGTACAGTAACTGTTGGCTTATAACGAGGAGAAAAACTTACTCAGGACTTTCTTTCTGATAACCGAAATCATTTGCTGCTTTAAGAGCTTTTTCATAAGTCTGCTTAAGTGCCTCCTGTCAACATCAGAGCAATTATCTTAATAGGAAATTATCACAGGCCAGAGCTTTAAATTTTTGAAAGAAATGTGAGAGATGTTGTTACCTGTAATCTAGACTCAAAATCTTCTGCTGACCATTGCATTGAATTCGATTCACGGAGTACTTCGATTTCACCAGCAGCAACCTTCAACAAAGTTATACAAATTAGTTACCATTTCTTACACAATCTAAGAAACTTTTATGTGCTTTGGGTTCATATCCCGCATATACAATAAAAAACAAACTGATACAGCTCTAGGACACTAAGCAAAACCACACTCCTACACATTATTTTATGACAGCAACAGATAATTCCTCTCCAATGCCATAGTGTAGTAATTTAATAATGGGAAAACTAATAAAGATAGGTTAAATTGTAGTATCGATGTAAATGCGTTAAAGAAGAAACTCACTCCTCCAGCTCCAGCAGCAATGGCAGGAGCAATCAGAACATTCGCCTTTCTGAAAACATCGACTGCTTCAGCCGTACATGGCATGTTTGAACCTGCACAAAACACATCCATACTGCTTAGAATAAGATAACAAAAGAACAGCAGAGAACAAACTTAAACACAAAACAAGAGGCCTTGAAATATTGCTTGATATAAGAAATCTCTACCTTCTACCAGTAAGCGGCAGCCTGCATTGACCAGATTAATGGCATCTGCTTGATCAACCTCATTCTGAGAAGCACAAGGAAATGCCACATCACACCTTTCATTCCAAGGCTTTACTTCATCAAAGTATTTCGCCCTTGCATAGGTCTTGGAATAGTCTCTGCATAACCGACATATGTACAGTTGGGATCTATATGATTAGCCAGTGACAAATACCATAGTATTCTAGGACAATAAATACCTCAGACTTCTCTGTTGGGATTTTATATCTCTCAAGAATGCAAGTTTCATATAATCAAATCCGTCATCGTCCACCAAATATCCTTTTGAGTCTGCAAAAAGTTAGCATCAGCAAAAAGCAGTGCCAAAAATCAACTCCATCAACAAAAAAGTTTGCTGTCTATGGAATTCGATTGCAAAGCGAAAACCAAATCATGTTCACAGAATGCTAATTCTTGAGGAGCACAATATGTCACAGACAGCTGAATTAACTTCTTACATTGGCCTAACTATTCAAGATCCATTGTCAATAACTAGAGATTCAATTTGAGACCTCTACGCCTTGGCCAAGACGAAGACACCAATGTATATAAGCCACATCTGACCGTTCATCTGGCAGACCGGGCCTTAAATCAACTCTTAGATCAACAAAGAGCCACCTTAGAGATGGTGAAAACAACAAAAAGGCAGAAAAGCTACACACTTGAGTTACTTCAAATCTGGAATGATAAGATGAGTGGATCACCTGAAACTGTAACCGGATGGGCTCCACAAGCAATTAGCTTCTCTACAACATGCATCGCAATTTTCCCGCAACCACTCACGACACATCTGAAATAAATTTATAGAAGAGTGTATGGTTTCATAAGATGATAGTCACAATATTGTACACAAGTCACACAGCTTCAGTATTATTTGAGAAGCCAAACATTCAGAAGGACTAGTTTTTTTACGACCGTTTAGAACTGACAGAATAATTAGCAAGAACTAAAAATGTATCTGAAGAGGAAAACGACGGTAAAAATGTATCTTGCTGATTAGATAAACTCAGAGATCCAAAAATAGTATGGTAAGAGCACATATTTAAAATGATCAAGAAGGAGACCTTAGTCCCTTTATTTCCTTATTCATATCTGCAAGCATAAGTCGTGCAAAGTACACCTGAAAGAATGCAAATGAGTTTTAGTTCATACAGAGTCATGACATGTTGATAGTGTTCTTCATATTTTTTTATATAAAAAAAAATCTATCCTTACCACGCCATAGCCACTAGCTTCAGTTCTGAGGCTAGAAGCAGCCCAATATATCCGCGGTCCTGTAAAACTTCCCTGCATAAGTAATTGACACAAAGATATAACAGCCAAAACTCTTCATTCTCTCCCGAAAGCAAAAACTAATGCAAATGAATGAGTACAGAAATAGTATAGCTGATGACATTTGGCACTGAAATGTTCCAGAAAATGAGAGAATGAATACAGATATTAGTCGGGATATATTCTTCCCTCCAAAATCACAAATATTACTCCCAAAAAGGATAAAACATTGAAGAAGAAAAAACAACTTGATAAGAAGTACCTTATTACGAACGAGAAAAATAAAAACATTTACTGCCATTTTGTTGTCAGGAAAAAAAAGGCAGGACGCAACAGGAAATATCACGAAAAAGCTTCAGCGTCCAACGACTTTCAGTACCTGAAACTGACCAGCAAGTCGTCTGTATTGTCCAAAAAGATATCCCATTTCCCGAGTTCCAACACCAACCTCCTCTGATGGAAGATCCTAGAGTATATAATAGATTAAAAATCACTGCAGAAAGGATATACTTGCTAAAGGGTAAAAGCCAATCTACTTACTTTGTCAGGACCCATATATCTGTACATCTCATTCATGAAACTTTGGCAAAATCTCATAATCTGCAATGTTGCAAAACAACATATCAGAACACATGTAAAAGATCACTTGCGGGGAAAAATGTAAGGGGCGAAGATGTCACCTCATTGTCACTTTTTCCTTTAGGATCAAAGTCGCTTCCACCAGAAGCCCCTCCCAGTTTATATGGTGACAGAGCATTTTTCAACGTCTGCAGAGGATTACAAACAAATTACAATCCTGAATCATGTAAAAGAACAGTAGAGGTGGCTACCAGGAAAAAAAATAAAATAAAAAAATAATGGCAAACAGAATAAGGTGAAAAATAAGAGAAATCAGAGGAAAGGTAATGGAATATAATTGATGGAAACATAGTACCTGCTGAAAGCCAAGAAATTTGGCAATGCTTAAGTTCATGGATGGATGAAATCGGATACCTCCCCTACATGGACCCAGTGCTTGATTGAACTGAACTCTAAAGCCGCGGTTTACATGTGTTTCACCACGGTCATCAATCCATGGAACTCGAAAGACTATCATACGTTCAGGTTCTAGTAGCCGCTCCATGATATTGACATAACTGAAAAGCATGGAACAGTGTGATTTGGATGCGGTTTCCAGAAAACTATTTTACAAAGATGAGAAGCATATTGTAACTTACTGAGAATTTTTTGCAATTACCCGCTCTAGAGCATGCACTGATTCTTGAACAGATTGAACAAATTCAATCTCATTAGGATCTCGTTTCAGGGCACCCTCAACAATTGAACCAGCACTCTTTGACATAAGAGCTTCATTGAGAGGAAAAGTGCTAACAGTTAACAAAACAACAAGCAGGGAAAGGCACTAGCAATGCCATACAAAGATACAGAGATCAAATGGAGCAAGACAAAAACAGAAAACCAAGGAGTCAACCTTTTTCTTTCATATTAGAACGAAGAAGACGATCTATTTCCTGATCTCAAAAACATAAAACTCCACAAATCATGGGAAAAAAAGCAGCATACCAAGAATTTTCAACTTCCTCTCTTTCACGAAACTAACTGCATCTTAGCATCTGTTAGTAAAATATTTCATATTCAGAGTTGCTTCGTTTCATCACTCAAACCTGGAAAGTTTTCTAAAATAGGATATAAAAATCCATTTGCGAAAAGTAGAATTGGGTAAAGTTCAAAGATATCGAAAATAAATGCAAAGCATATGTTAACACACTGTTAGCTGAAAGGTTGTTTAGTGCAGGTTGGTTAGATGGAAAAAAAGGAGTTGCAAATGATCTTAACTCACTACATATAGAAGGAAATCAATCACTTGAAGCAATAATGTAAATAACTTACTCTTCACATAAATAGGCTTGTCAACAACAATCTTATCTTTGGAAGCCGTTTGGAGACGCAGAGCCTCTTTGTGTAGCAAACTATTATTGTGTTCTTCTAAAGCACTCATCTGCATGTTTCTACTTCCTTCATTCCCGTAAGGATTTCTTCGATGTTTTCTACCATATTCTCTGCAAATAGAGCAGAATATCCTAGCTGTTCCATCCTTCATATCAACATACGCCCACTTGTACGTGTCAGCCCATTCCTCTCTCCACCGTTTGACAACTTTTTTCTTTCTCTTAGCCGGTTGACCCTTTGACATATCCTGATCCTCACTGGGCAGGTCAGATACCAAAACCATATGCTTTGTTTCATCATGTTCTCCAGTGGAGGGTTCCCGTGGAGGCCCGCCAATCAATGAATTGTTAGCAAAAGCAGCATCATCCTCTCCAGGTCCAATTTCCAAATCAATCTCTTCCCCAAGATTACTTACAACAAGCTGATGCCTTTGTGCCTGCTGGATTAAGTTCATATCATCCATTGAGGGATTCATCCCCAACCCACCTGTTGGCCCAAACATTCAGCATCACAGTTTTAACTCCCCCTTAGCTTCTCTTTTGCTGACTACCAGCAACTGTATGTATCTTACACTTGGTACGATTCTCGAAATGACGACCTAGTGCACA